CCTACCCAAGGCCCCTCGGCCCCAATCTCAACCTCAAGTCAGTTTGGAAGCACCACTGGAGAGTTCCTTCAAGACTGGTTCCTAGACCTCACTATCCCTACTATACTTTTGGAACCCCTTGCATCCCCCCCCCCCCCTCCCCCCCTGGGAGACGCACGCTTTGGGCTTTCACCCTTTGACCCGTATTAGTACTTCGACTCAGTCTTTGGCTCGATTTCAGATTCGGTCTCGGACTCGATCTCGGACTCAATCTTGGACCCGATCTCGGACCCGACCTCGGACTCGACCTCGGACTCGGTCTTGGACTCGGTCTCGGACCCGATTTCAGATTCGGACTCGGTCTCGAACTCGGTCTCCGAGTTGGCCTCGGACTCAATTCCGAACTCTATCTCGAACTCGGTCTCAGAGTCGGTCTTGGACTCGATCTCAGACTCGGTCCCATCCGATGAACTCTTTATCATTTTGGTCATGCTTTCAGGATCCTTTAGCTTACGACACATCAGGGAGTTGGTTCCTTACAAATGATTGCAAAATACATAAATTTTTAATGTTTATATTGGGATGGTTATTTGCCATTTCTTCAGTATGCATATGTCATAGGGGTGCAAAGTTTTATTGGGCTTCACCATATAAAATCCTATATAATCATGATTTGATATTACCAACGGAGTTGAATTTACCTTCACAATTGCCACAAGCTACTGATGTTAAGTTTTAGGATTAATATTTGACAAGCATACTTTCACTTGTCTGAGCAGAGTTTACCAAACACCTAACCTGCATATAAATGGGACAACAATAGTGCTACAACTCCTATCATTATCCATTTGAGGAGTATAAAGTAAATGATTTGATGTTAATTTGTTTTCCCAATTTTACGGTATGTGGTTTGTCTAAAAGGCTCCTTACTCAAGGAATACATGTACATGCTTCAACCACCCTTGACGATGCTCTTTTCTTGGCACAACATTATAAGATATCACTTCTTCCATTTCTCATGGAAGGAAGGAATTATATTAGGTGTTGCAGCAAGTAGGACCATAAGTTTATAAGGTTTGGTATAACATCCAATAAGCTAATCTTCTAGAAATTATACATGTGCAACAGCTAAAATGCTTTATTTCGTTAAAGTGGAACATATTCAGTAAAGTGGGACATTAATTAGCATGTGTCCACATGCCATTTCCTAGTACTTAATTAATATTTATTAATATTTCTATCAGTTTTTTAATTTATTTTTTATATTTCACAATATTATAACACAAAATCATATGAAAAGTTTTTAATTTATAAATTATAAAGCTAAAACTTCAATTTTTTATTGTTGTTATAAAAATGGCATGTGGCCACACACCATAAGTGGGATAATGAAAAGTTCCACTTTAACGAAATAAAGCATTAAAACACTTTATACAAAGGGATTAAGAACAATTACCACCACCCAGAAATCCATCAATGCTTCTTCTTGATGTTCTTTCAAATCCTAGCCCGTCCATGAAAGAATTTTGATTTTTTTCCATCATTCCAAAAAGAGTGGATGATATAAGGTCCAAGTGTATACCTACAATGTCATATATTAATATTAGCGTAGTGGGATTTTAGTAGCCGTCGGATTGAGTTCAATCTGCTCATATATATAAGCTAGGCTTTTTGAGCTAATTGATATGCACATTTTTTATTTCATTTTCATATGCCATGCACTCACAAGATCATTATTAAAATAATTATATTTTATATATATATATATAAAAGTTCTTACCAGCTTTTGCTGGGTAGTTTCTATTCCTCCATAATAAATTAAAATATTTTACTCAGAGTCCATGTTTAAGTTTGATTAGACCATAGAAGTTCAAATGTTATTTTTTAATTTATGGCAAACGAGCTAATAATTTTGTATAAAAATTATAATTTACTTCAATATTATTTTTAACTTCTCAATATAGTTTTTGTACCTATAGTATGACACTACCATGTTTTGGCAATAGTTTTATAATTATATCAATAGAGTCATCTTGAAAATAAACTCTTCCACCAAAGCCATGAAATATATAATTACAAATAATAAAATTCAAAGCTTGCGCAATATCACTTTTAGTACCAATCCTATTTTGAGCTCTCCACCCATGTACTTTTATAACAATTTTATAACTTCTTCTTTATGCTGCATAAAGATATTTATAAGTTGAATGTGTCCATTGGAAGGTTAATTGACATATAGACTGGCATACAAAACCCATAGAAGCATGTCTTTGTGGCCCATGATCAAAACATCCTTCTACAACTTCACTTGAATAACCAAGGCATTGCAAAATACTAAGTAAGATTATAATACTAATCAATAATTTCATTTAAATATATAGTGACCCTTCAAAGAAGTTTGCAACTTATATTTGGATTTTTTGTATAAACACCCATGACATTTGGTAATGTACTTGAACTATATAATCTATAATAGTCAAGTATCTAATCAACAGTATGATTAGTGATTTTAATTTCTTAGATTGCCACTCTTATAATGAAATTGCACAGAACAATGACTAATGTGAAAATTAGGACAAAAAAATGTGTCTACTGCAGACAAGAATTTACATCAATCAATGCATCTTCTCCTTCCACTCATAATGCCACCATCAACACTTGTCTGGAAAGATGGAAAGAAACGAAGAGCAAAGGCATAGCATTCATACTTGATCTCTTCTTTTTTTTTTGTGCTATGTGATGCTAGCCCTTACTTGATTAATAATAATAATAATATTAATAATATATGTTTTCCAGCACTAATCTGAAGACTAGGGAGGGTAGAACTACCTACCTATAGTCCCTACACTCTCTTGGACTTGAATTGAAGCTCCTCCATTTTATGTAAGTAGATGGTGAGGTGGTGGGAGACCCCTTGGTTTTCTAGGAGGGTATTGAACAAGGCATGGAAGATGACCAATGGTGCATAGGAGGTATTATTGAAGATGCCTAGGAATTCTTGGTTATACATGTTGCCTAATCTCAGCCTAGAATGCATGATTCCCATGCTGGTATGCTGGATATGGTGATATATATAAGGATCCCATCCCATCAGATTCATGGTCAAGAGATAAATCTTATACTTGACAGCCTCATAGGTCTTCTGATCTAGCCATTTGTGCCATTCACCAAAGTCGTCAAGTGGTTCATGATGTATCTCCTCAACATCTAGACAAGGCATAATGTCCAGATTTTGACATTTGCCCACCAGCCCCTATGTCTTTTATACATAAGGCTGAGTTATTAATAGTGCATATGGAGAGTTTCATTTGGACTACACCTTGATGTATCTAATAATATGCTTCTATGTAAGGAGCGTGAGCTGAATTATTGGGTAGGAGATATTCCCTATATGCAACTCTATCTGAAAGAATTTGTATTACAAGTCCTCAACCAAGATTTATCTATCCCAAATGCCACAGAAGCATACAACACAATAGTGGTAACCTTAGAAAGAATTGACATTTTGCAGTCAGCTCTTGATGTGAGTATGGCAGTCAAACAGTAGTGCACAGTTAGCATAGTGAGCAACTACAATTCAATCAGATATGCTTACTTTCCATGAGTTGGCCTGTGAATAGCAAGTTGTCTACTATAATGAGCTGCACCTTGGTAAACCATGAGCTATTTTTTGGCAATGCTTACTTCCATGCCTTTGGCTGCACAGAATTCACTTAAAACATCTAGACTGACGCTGTATTTGTGGCCTGCAACAAAATGTCATCAGGATACAACAATACATAGAGATACATGCCCAAGAGTTGGTCAGGTGTAAGTACCTTACCCTTGATTGTAGTCTAGAGTGTGGCAAGAGGGAGCAACCTTGTTGGACCCCAAGTATGACTCAATGGGCTGGCTATCAGCTATTTGTAGCCATGCAATCTTGAATAATTCAGCAATTGCTGCTAAAAGGAGAGTGGGGATTTGAAGTTCCAACAAATGCCAAATCAAGACATGATTGAAAGCTTGGTTAAAGCCACAGGAGAAGCCCTTGGTTTCATTGGAAACCAAACATAGCTAATGCATAGCACTGCATCCAACTTGTTAATCAGTATCATTCCTACTATCCGACAAAAGTTCAAGAGCTTTGTTCCAGTTGCATTGATAATGGTGTCTATGGCATATATTCAAGCATAGTCCTAATCCATTCTTCCACAAGCACAGCCCCGTTGTGATTCTGTGCTTGTTTGTGGGCTAGCAACAACTACCCATGCTAACATGAACTCCTCCAACCCAGTGAGAGGAGAAGTTTCTTCTTGGACCTAGTGAGGTGGGTAGTAGAAGTTAACAGGATCTGAATGGAGCAACTTAGAGAGGATTTCCTAATGGCCATATTACTATGGCCCCTTGACACCCTATCAGGTTTTGAATGAAGTATTTAATAGAGGGACAGTGGTTTTTGAAAAACTGATGTGTAAAAACTAGTTGGACATACTTTAGACTTTCTATATTTGAAACTATCAATGGTTTTCGATAGTGTTAGCTAGGAACTCCTCAAATGAAGTAGTTTCTAATATGAAATAAGATTAGTTATTTCAAGTGCTATTGAAAAATCTACATTTCAACCAAGATCTTTGTTTTATACAATAATATTTCTTACCATTGCTAATGGAAAACAACATATCAAGCCTATGCTTTTGGTATGGAAGATCATTTAAAAAAAGAAAGAAAGTCTTGCTTTTAAGATTGCCATATTCGTAAGACTTAACAAAAAAAATTGATGTTACCAATATAATAACCATTACTACTGAACTTCAGCATTTAAAAAAAATTGGGTGAAAAGCAAATAAAGAAACCCAATTCCAAGTTTTGGGAATTAAGTGAAGTCTCTTGTATCGTAAATCCTTTAGGACACATCCCCCAACAATTCTATTTCCTACTCACGAACAATGTTAAATTTCTGGTGCTTCCACCCCGTCAGCTAGGGTTTTGGAAAATTGAAAAAGATTCAAAAGATATTCTCTGTACGGAAGTCCCTTAAACCCTAAGGGGAAGAACCCTAGTAGGGTTTTGCGCATCCGTGGAGCAGCGAACGATGGCCCTCGTCAGGGGAAGCAGGCGGGCATCACTCACACTCACCAGATGGCTTGCAGCAGCAGCGCCGGCTCAAGAGAGGGCCATGGATGCGTCAAAATGCGGCTTCTGGGAGCGCGCATTTCTTCACAGAGGCATGGCTACATTTACTCGAACGTAAGTCTAGAAAATCAGGTTTTTGGGTGGAAAGATCCTTTTCTCTGAGAATTTCGCCTGGGGAGTGGACGAACAGCTAGATCGATAGAGTTCTTACATTTGTATCGGTTTTTTCTTGTCAGGAAGCCTCACATGAATATTGGAACTATTGGTCACGTTGATCATGGAAAGACCACTCTGACCGCTGCTATCACCAAGGTTTCCTTTCCTTTTTTCTCTCCTTTCTTCTAACAGCGTTGGTGAAATTTGCCTCTCAGGTCCTCGCATCTGAAGGCAGGGCAAAAGCCATCGCTTTTGAAGATATTGACAAAGCTCCGGAGGAGAGAAAGCGTGGAATTACTATCTCGGCTGTAAGTTTTCCTCGTTTCTGGAGCTGCAAGATCCATTACTGACGATGTTTCTTATAGGCACACGTTGAGTATGAGACCGCGAACAGGCATTATGGCCATGTAGACTGTCCCGGACACGCAGATTATGTGAAGGTGAGAGTCTCTTCCTTGATTTTTCTTTAGTTACTCTGTTTCTTCGTGAAACAGAACATGATCACAGGAGCTGCACAAATGGACGGAGGCATTCTTGTGGTTTCTGCTCCGGATGGACCAATGCCGCAAACGAAAGAACACATTCTTCTAGCACGCCAGGTTTGTTTTTCTCCAATAGTTTAAATAAATACTTGAGAGAATTGCGTTATAGGTCGGTGTTCCGTCGCTCGTATGCTTCCTCAACAAGGTAGATGCTGTTGAGGATGAAGAGCTTTTAGAGCTTGTCGAGATGGAACTCCGAGGTATATGAAAATGCTGCCAAAGTCGAAACCTTACTCTGCGGTATAACTTTGCAGAGCTGCTTTCTTTCTACAAGTTTCCTGGTGACGACATTCCAATCATCAGGGGTTCTGCCCTCCAGGCACTGCAAGGAACAAACGACGAGACCGGCAAAAATTCGATTTTGAAGCTCATGGAAGCTGTTGATACTTATATTCCCGAGCCTAAGAGGGTCCTTGACAAGCCGTTTTTGCTGGCGGTAGAAGATGTCTTCTCGATTCAGGTAAGGAAAATCCAATTTTCATTTGTGACGAAGAGCATTAACAGGGCCGAGGAACTGTGGCTACTGGTCGCATCGAGCAAGGCGTTATCAAAGTTGGAGAAGAAGTCGAAATTGTCGGACTGAAAGAGGTATGCTGTTTTTTTCTTTCTTTTTGTTCTTTTTCTCTTTTTCGTCTGAAGTGAAGATCCATCTTCGTGTTTCAGTCCGGCCCCCAGAAATCAGTTGTCACCGGTGTGGAAATGTTTAAGAAAATTCTCGATCAAGGACAGGTAATACACAAGTTTTATGGGTGTCTTCATGCCGCTAATCTTCCTTGTACAGGCCGGAGATAATGTTGGGTTACTTCTCCGTGGGTTGAAGCGTGAAGACATCTCTCGTGGCCAGGTAAACTTTTTTCATCGCACACGCGCAAGAGCGTCTTTACGTGATCTTCCTTCAGGTTATTTGCAAGCCAGGAACCATCAAAACATACAAGAAGTTTGAGGCGGAGATTTACGTGCTCAGCAAAGACGAAGGCGGGAGGCACACTCCATTCTTTTCGAACTACAGGCCGCAATTCTACTTGAGGACAGCGGACGTGACAGGGACGATAACTCTACCCGAGAATGTAAAGATGGTAATGCCGGGTGATAATGTTAGTCTAAAATTCGAGCTCCGGGTTCCAGCACCAATCGAAGCTGGTAAGTTCTTCGCCATTTTCGTTTCTTGTTTTTGCTTCATGATTCGAGATCTCATTCGAGTTTTTCGCAGGCCAACGATTTGCTCTTAGAGAAGGAGGCCGCACGGTGGGAGCTGGTGTCATCTCTAAAGTCATTCCTGGCTAAATCCCGAGAAAAAGGTTTAGATCGTTTCTGATTTACTTTTTGACAAAGCCAAAATAATCTTCTGTATTGAGTGAGACAGATTCTCTAATTAAATACTCTTTCTTTCTACTTAATCTATAAAATTAAATTTGCTAGTATAATTAAAATTTATACTTTAATTACAAAATAACAAATGGAGGCTTCATTTTAAGAGATACAATTTTAAAGAAAGTGATTTTTTATTAGGCTTAAACTACTTTTATTATCTTAATCAGTATTTTTACAAGGGAATGGTTATGGCCTACAATAATCCATGAGAACTTGCCTCGCAAGATGGAGAGAGCCACTCTTCTTGTAGATCAGGTGTAAGTTGTGAGCGGCCTCCCTTCTCAGGTCGCAGTGGCCGCCAACTCGTCCCTCGGGGACAAAATCCTGGGATAAAAACGTACTCGATTCGTACGGTAGCCGGACGATGGGTCGATCTTTCTCAAAGTGCTGGAGAACTTTCTCGTAGTAAGTCACGGCCAAGTGAACGAGACCAACACAGTGGTAGGCTCTGGCGATGTTGTAATTTGATTCCTGTGTGGAGTATAGAGCCAACAAGCAAAGATTGGCAAATAGCCAGACGAAGAGATGCTTTACCTGGTTGTGATTTGAGAGACGCTGGTACTTGTAGAGGAAAGCAAAGCCTTGTAAGACGCACTGGTTTCGATTGCTCAGTCTAAAGCCCTGTGATAGATTGATGAAGCTCACACCTGTAATAGCACAAAAACATTGCCAGTTAATTCACAACCTGTGCTTACCAACGCAGAGGTTTATAAACGGGTCTTCCGGCTGCTGCTTGTAAGCCTGTAGATATTCGCGAAGAGCGCCTTGTGACTGGCTGATCATAGCAAACTGGTGTCCACAAATAATCATCGCAGGGACACAGTCCGCGAATTTGTTCCGCATCTGGAGCATAAACTTGTGGTGCCTTGGCACGCGAGCTTCAGACCTGGAAGATCAGCAGTTTCAAGGCAAAATGGCCACAAGTGTGGTAAGAACCTTGAGACGACTTGGTAGTAGCAATTCCACATACTTAGGCTGTATGGACGTTGTTGGACCATGTAACGCGCACACTCGTAGCCATATCTTGCATCACTTGTTTTGTAAGCTATTTCTGCATCCATGCACACAATTAGCTGCAAACACAAGCACGGAAAACTGTTTCTTACGGGCTCCCAAGGCTCGAAGTTCGTCGTGTTGCTCGGGTGTTAGCGAATTTCCCACCCTTAGCGAGTGATGTATGACTTCCAAAGCTTCCCAATAGCGTTGGATGGATGCTAAAGCCTTGCATGCCTGAAATAAATAGTGCAATAACGTTGCGTAAGAGAACGTAAAATAAATGGACCTGAAGCAGCGTTTGATAGTGTTCGTCGTCTTTCAATAGATTTGGAAGTGGTGATTGCTTTAATTCCATTTCCTGCCAAGGAGCGATGTGTTAGAATTTGGAACTGAGTGAAACAAGACTTACAGCTTCTGCTCCGTCCGACTCTTCTTCAGACTCCCACTCCATACCAGCAGCGAGTGCTGCTGCTTTCTTTTCCTCTTTCTCGGCTGCGCGTTTTGCTAACACCTTCTTTGCTCTTGATGCTTTAGCCCTGTCCGCATAACACAAACAAGCGTCTAGAAGAATCAGACAGATAGATGTTGTGTACCTATCATTACGAGAAATGATCGGACCAAAGCCTTGAAACACCTCGTCGTCTTGCTTGTCTTCCAAGAGCTTTGCCCGCTCTGCTAGGACACTTTTCGGTAAGCGTTTTCTTCCTTTCACCTGTATGCATGCTTCAGTTCTAAGTGCAAGAAAAACTGAAAACGGACCTTTTGGTTAAAAGACTCGACATAGAGGCTTTCTTGAATTGCAGGTAAGATGGTCTCCAGAAACAGATAAAGCTTCCCTTGGCCATGATAAATTTCTGCAAGCTTCATCTTTATTCTTCCGTTCTGCCACCAGTAAAGACCGGAGACGGACGTATCTGCGGCACAACATCTTTAGAAGACAACGTTCTGCTCGACTATTTTACCTGTAACTTGAGGAGGCTTCAGCAGATTTATTGCATCATCCAGTCTAGAACATCTCAAAAGAAGAGATGCCAGCGTTAGCCTAGCGTCTACGTGTTGTGGCAATTTTTCCATCACTGAAAGATACGAAATGAATAGGAACCGAAAACAAAGCTCGACTTCATACCCCTATAGTAAACTCGGATGGCATCTTCCAATGCGTCGACCGCCATGTAACACTCAGCAATTTTCAGTGAAAGGGTCCCCTGCCAAGAGAGAAAAAAAAATAACCAGGCATTATAACATCAAAAAACAAGCTGAGCATACGTTATCATAAGCATCGTTGCCTTCCAGAATAATATAGTATCCAAGAGCGTCGTGGTGTCTACCAACGCTCAGGTAGGTATCTCCAACATCCAACACCAAGTCCGCAAGATCGTCAAGACCCTCCTTACGTAAATCCTCGAAGTCCCTCTTTTGAAAAAGAGTCAGGAAAATGAAAGAGGAAAGAGCTGTACATGTCTACACTCACCTCGGCTGCGAGTAAATTTCCCAAGTGAACGTGGCAGATCCCAGACTTAATGCTTAAGTCCAGCGGTAGTGCCTGTCCATGGCAATACATTTGGCGTGCACGATCTATCTGAGATAGAGCTGCAGCGTAATTCCTGTTTCCCATGTGAAGCTCAGCCAGGAGATTCACCGCAGCAAAATCCGCTTCAGCAGAATGCTCGTCAATAAACTTTTCTAATACTTCCGTTGCCCGTTGGATATTCCCATTCTTGTGTTGCATCTGTTTAGAAAGCTGTGAGAGTTAGCACGAATTTATATGAATACGACTGCAATTTTACCTTGGCAACCATTTTGCAAACTTCTACATCGCTCGATCGCAAAACAAGCATCTGTTCAAACGCGTCGGCCGCTTTCTGGAAGTCAAGTATTTCAGCGTATAGTGAGGCACGATCCCACTTGGCATCTATGTCATCAGGATCGGCCCTTATTGCTTTGGTCAGGCAGTGAATCACTTGTCCTGTATTTCCCAACTCACTGCAATGAGAAGTTAGATGGAGCATTATTCAAGTTGCGTTCTTACGTAGACCAGGACGCAAGCCGCTTCCACAGAGCAGCGTCTTTCGGCTTGAGGTGCGCGCATATCATATAGAAGTTTAGCGCCTTCTTCCGGTCTCCCATTGCGTCGTAGAGCAGCCCCAGCGTGTGATAAGCATCAGGAGCGTTTGGAGCGAGACGCACCACTTCTTTCAGGAGAGCGATTGCCTGCATGGAAAGTTGTCAGCACTGCTAGTAAGACACAAGCACCGTCCAGACCTCGTCGTTCTTTCTCGTTGCATAAAGCAAGTTAGCTTCTCCCAGTTTCCTCGAGACCTCTGGAGGCAATCTCGACGCACCAGGAATGCCAGGAACTTTTTTCCTTCCTTTCCGCTTTGCCTGCGATTTCAAAAGAGCTTAGCGTTTGATAAAAGACCAGCTTCATGGTAAGCTTCATGGACTCATAGTTGAAAACCATAATCCATGATCAAGTAAAGTAGTTAACTCTTACCTCTCCCGCTCGTCTTCTTCGCTTTGGGCCGAAAGCATTCCAAATGTCGTCTATGTCTGCGCCAAAGATGTCCTGCTGACTTTCTTTGGCATTCATCTCCTCCTCTTCTCTGCGAAGCAAACTCACAAATCAATCACAGAACAATATTTTTTTCACTCGATACCTCTTCTTCGCGAGAGCCTTGCGCTTTCGCTCCGCCAGTGCCTCATACTCTAGCCTCTCAAACTGCTGGTAGGGGAGATCACCATTCTGATCCACGTCCACAAAGGCCAGCGGGTCCATATCTCCCTCAAACCGCAGCGCATAATCTTCATCTTCCTCCTCGTCCTCGTCCTCCTCCACCTCTTCCTCCTGCTCGTCGTCGCATTCCCCCACCATGACGGACTCAAACCCCTCCAAATCCATCTCCGCCGGGGCTGCATTGCTCGTGGTAGTATCGGCGATGTCGTGCTGCTCCAATCCACTCACATCCACATCCACCTCCACATCGCCGTCGATATCTACCTCCACGTCGCCAACGACGTCCCCCAGCATCCGATCAAAGGTGCGCTTGCGATGCGGCAGCTGCCGCTCGTCCCTCATTCTCCCTGGCAAGAACCCTAAATTCTGTGCCCTGTTTCTAGGGCTTCCTGGAGCGATGTGATCCGGCTAGAATTCCGCTACCCACCATACTCCAAGAGCCCGAAATCCGGGCCGATGGACTGCCATGCGCGATCCACAATCCCGGCTTCTGCACGCGAATAGAATCCCAATCGCGCTCCATCCAGATCCAGCATCATCTCCTCCGCCTGCCCGATCGCGCCACGGAAATCACCCATCGCCTTTACGATCGCGTTCCAAGAAACGGCCGATTTCCTGGAGATCCTGGCAAATGCGACCATCGCCTCGCCCAGGCTCCCGCATTTTACGAACATCTGGACGAGCGCGTTGCCCAGCACCGTGACCTAGCGATCGCGCTCGCATTTGAATCTCCCGCGCTTGTTTAGTGTTCTTTGCGCGTTCCACGACTGTAAGGCTGCCCGGCAAGAGATATTTGGGATCGGCGCCGCTTTCGCGTTTCTCACCATAGCTTCCATGGCTTACTATCTCAGAGGAATCTCCATGCCGCTAGCAAATTGTCAACATTGTTTTAGATGATTTTTTAGATTAATATCTGATTCTGTGCAATACAATGAAATGTTGTGAGAAGGAAGACTGATGACTGCTGCAAGAGCAAAACAAATGCTCCAGGACATGATGGCCCATCTTTCACAAAAATGCTTGCCCAGTAAGATTGATCTGTAGAAATTTTAGATTCTAAATAACTTTGCGACCATTTTCGTGGATGGATGGGGCTTAGTATATTTCATGCTCATTGTTTTCGTATCGGAACTGCCTTTGTTTCCAAGTTCATATCTACAAAAATATATATCATCACCAACTTTAAAAATATTAAACAAGCATTTATTAGTATTAAACAAGTATTAAAAATATACTTTATTTGGTCAATGTTTAGATGTTTAGTCAATGTTTAGGTCTTCGGATTTGAAATGGGAGTTTAGTTTGTGAGTTGTATTCCACATGTTAGAGTCATTAAACAAATTACCTTGTAGGGACTTCTCAGATTGATTTATATTGATTTACTTTGATTGCTAGCTACAGGGCTGTGGGTTGCTTGATTGTGCACCTAAGGAGTGAAACCTAATTTGC